GGTCGACTAACACTCACAGAAAAATGCAAAATGTAATATTGATTGATTGATGACTAAAAGTCAAAATGTTTGCCTATGCAAATTAATAAAAAGGTTTGATCAATCTTGATTACTCAATATAGCTAATTTAAATATTAATGTAAATAATAAAAAATATTTCCCTCAAATCTTTTTTAAACTTTTTTTTAATTCAATACAAAAGTCTGAACTTATTTTTATTTTGATGAGTGCATAGCACAGGTTCGCAGATCGCAGATCGCAAAACGAGGCAAGAGTCAAGTTGCCACAGAGCCAAGTTTAGTTGTTTGGTAGCCAAGGTGCGAGATCTGTAAATAATGTGGCAAAGCTGGGCATGCCTCACGGGTGCAACAGCTGGTGTGCCCCAGCATCCATGTGTGCCGCTTCGCTGAGCTTAGTGAAACGCTCCGCTTCGATTGGAGATCGTTAATCGAAATCGCACTTTGGCTTCTCTCTGCACTTAGGAGGAGAGGAACACCATTAACCCCTATGCCCCCAACTCCCCAATCCATTTGCCGCTGATTTGGTGATAACGATCGTAAGCGTAGCGGTACTCCAGGTGCAACACATGTTGCACTTGCCCAACCCTCCTCTTTCCCCGCCCCTGTTGTTCAACCTGTCCACTTACGAGTGCTGCATCAAGCATATAATTTTGCCTAATTTAGAAAATAGTTTTTCTCTACTCGAAATTAGTATGATTCGTAGCTGCATTTATCGTACGTTCGCCTTGTTAAAGAACTGAACACAATGTCTGCAGAGTTAACTTGGGCAACATGTGTTTTGGCCCATATATGCTTAGATGGCCAAGTGTGGTTCCTAGCACTTGATGTCAGGCATTTCCGCATAGCTCAACTTGAAGCCAGGGGGGCTTCAACTTTTCGTGGAAAACAAAATGAATGTCTTGTAGTCGACATTTATTAAATCCATACTCATAAATATGCATGGGTGGAGGGGAGCAGAGCACTCGAGTCTCGAGGGGGCGGGGGCTCTTCTAATTACGTCAAGTTAGTCTAGGGGGTTCTGACAAAATGAAACGAAATCAAATATGACGACAGAGAGAACCGAACTAAGCAGGCAGACAGACGCAGAGCCAAATGAAAGGCCTAAGAATTGTTTTATTAAGTGGCATAAATATGCATGAGCAAACCCTTAAAATAAAAATCCAACAACGAATAAAAAAAATACGAAAAAACCTAAGCAAATGAAATGAATTCATTTTGTAGCTACCCCCGCAAGGAGAGAAAGTTGTTTGCTTAGTTGCCGTGTGTTTTTAGCCAACAAATACGAAAGCAATTTAATCGCATGTAGAACCGGAAAAAGGTTTACAATTAAACAAAAAAAACGAAAAGAAAAGAATAAAACTTTGTCTGTCTGCATTTGGATATCATTTTTACCTTTTGGATGGCATTGTCATGTATTTGTGGCTTTGCGCTTCATTGATTAAAATCAAACTGTTTATTAGCGCCACCCTTTGCGCATTAGGGTTACCCAAAATAAAAACAGCCCCTACACAAAACTAAATGTCTGTGCTGCGTGTGTTTGTTTAATTGAGTTTTGTTCTTTCTTAGCTTCCTTTCATTTTTTTTTGGTTATTATTTGCATTGTTGGTTTGTCATTCTCATTAGTGCATAAATATCCATGTCTTGTAGGGTTGCATAACCGAAAACCGGCCTTTATCAATCGTCATATATTTATATATATCGTTCACTCATTTATCCATATATACATATACATAAATATCTATCCGTTTATCGTTGTGGCAGCGTTGTTTTGTTTGCCACCCGCAAAATGATTTCAATTTTAGATTAGTTCTCTCTCGCATAATAAAAAATAAAATTCCAGGAAATCACCCCGACTCCCTCCCACGCATTGTATTTGGCATTTGCCATCACATATCATCGTCAAAGTCAAACTCAAACTGAACGTCATAATATTGACAGGCAGGCAGTCACAAAGGCAGACAGACAGACAGCCATAGAGGCATGTCAACATACTCATAAGGTCGGCTTAATATTTGGCTTGCATGGTTCTGGTTACTTAATTTAAAAGACACCCAACGATTATTGGTTTCAAATTGCTTAGGACACGCGAATTTTTTTTTGGCATTTCTCAGCAGGCTGTTTTTTATATATACATTTTTTTTTAAATTTTTTTTTCGTTTTCTATTTTTATTGCCCCATTTGATTTTCATTTCCTTGTTATACGCTTCAGTAAATAGGTAGGCGTTGATCCGATCAGCCGTCTCTGCATTTTATTTGCCCATTAAGTTAGCCAGGCAGTCGTCGACATGTCAGCTGGATATTTGTGCAAATGCATTTCAAATTAGATGCATATTCAATATAGAGGTAAAAACATAGACAGACCTCCAAATCGATTCAGCTTTCACGAAATCACGGCATTGAAAAGTTTTGAGACATCTCTTTAAGCTTTTGTGCTTTTCAGAATAGTGTTTCCAAATTTGAATGTGATATTATTCAAGTTGAGACATGGTCAAAAGGTCAAACCATAAGTAGGAAGCCCTAGTTTTTGAAAATCAGCTCAGTTTTGACTATTGAAGTCTTGATAGGGCATTTCTGAGAATATTTCCTTATATTTAGGTTGTAGATAAATCTAATCGATGATTAATCTATGTAGCAAATGTTATTGCCTTCTCTCTCGAAAATATGTTAAAGCTGTTGACCTTTTAACGGGTCAGAGAAGTTAAATTGAACTTTATTCGACGTCAGGTTGGCAACTGTGTGGCAGACTCACAGCTGCCGTAAAGTTGCTGCAAGTAGCGGTGTTCATATGTCTGCTCTTACAAGCCTTTCAATATAATTCAATGTCGTTCAAAAACCAAATCCATTAATCTCTCAACTCAACTCCAGACCTGCCTCTCTCGCCCCAAGCACAAGGAAGTCCAACTTCTCTCGGTCACATGCAATTTGTGCTACTTGTTGCTGCTGCGGCTGCTGCCTCTGTGGCAACCTTTCACAAAGGAGCCCACAAAGCAACACCTTTGCTGACCAACAGCAACAACAACAACTTGGTATCTTTTTACCTTTTATGATGCGATTTGCATGGCATTTAAGTTGCCCCATCGCTTTGCCTCACGTCGCATATTAATATTTAAGTCGCCATCCTTTTATGCCATGTTCGGTTTCACATCTCCAACTCTTGACTCCCGCTCGTCCCTTCCTTTCTCTTATTTTAGCTCTTCCCGGTAGCGCGGCACGCCAGTCAAATTCAAATTCAAGTTCGCGTTTCTCACGTGACATGAAAATCTTTTTTGTGCGCAACAAGTTTTTAACAAATTCTCAGCTGATAAATGATATCGCATACTCTGTCTGACTCGATATGCATAGAGTCCTTGTCTCCGGTCATTAATAATTGTACAACTACAAAGCTGAAGCTATCTTTTTCATTACCTTCCACCTAAACTTCTCCAATGGGCTATTGTCTGCTACTAAAAGAGAATTGAGGGGTAGCTGAGTTGGTTTCTCTTTAAATGATATGTGCGTATCTTGAGCACTTTAATCACACTGGATTTGTAGCTATACCTTTTTTTCATATTTTTCTTTTAATTTTTAAGTGATACGTTACGAAACTTAAACGTTTTGAGCATTTCTATAACAATTTCTTAACCTTTTCACTAAATGACTTGTCCCTCCCAAATATCGCATATCCCCTTAAGAGATCCACACACGATAAACCACAGTCTGCACAACCAAAAGCTGTCACTTGACATACCACATGGCACACACACACACACATACACACATACATCATACACACACATACACACACACTCGACGATAAGCGATCTGCACAGCACCACAAGTTGCCACTTGAAAGTGATGATGGATTATTAGTACGTGTTGCTGGCCCGGCTATGAGGATGTATGGTTTGCAAGGAGGGCAGGAGGGGCTGGGACTGATTTACCTAAACACACGAGTCTCTCATTAATCCTGGGAGGCAAACGGAGGCAGGACCTTTAGCACGCTCTTGCCACAACTTATTTGCTGCTAAAAACTTTTGCGGCTTGATAAATTGCCCCCAGCAGCAACAGAAACACACAAGCAGCTGTCCTCCCCCGAAACCCTGCCCCACACCTTACGTCTGACACTTGCTGTAAGCAAAATAACAGCATATCATTCTTAAGAGACACACAGGCAGACAGACAGACACACTGAGAGACATGTGCGAGTAAAATGTGCGAATGGCTTTGGGCTGAAGTTTTTTGGCCAATGTTTTTGCTGCGTTTTCGTTTTCGATTTTTCCTTATAACCGGAAAATGGGTATAATGTAGTTAAGAAGAAGAATGTAATAAGCAGAAGGAAACATCTCAGAATCCATTAGGTACATATAGTCTGGATCAGTCGGTATGAACAATCTAGAGACTGGTAATTTGGAATATAAGTCATTGTATACTTTATGCAAATTAAGTTTAGTTTAACCCTAATTAACTGTTGCCGTTTCGCGTGTATCGATACAAATCGATTTCCGATAGCAAAAATAAAAATGTATAAAGATTTAAGCTTCTGTGTAAATTTAATTAAGATTGAATAAGAAACACAGAAAAGTATCTTTTGCAGAGCATCTCCTAGTCGAGTTCTCTCGACTAGAACATTCTTACCCGTTTTTTTGTGCCACATCTTTTTAGATAGGTAAACACTTAAAACGTTATTCCCAGTACTTTCTCTCCTCTACCTCTCTCTCTCCCTCTCTCTCTCTCTCTATTTCTCTCTCTCTCTCTCTATTTGCGAGGCATTCAATCACCTTTCAGTTTGAGATTTGTGGAGTTTTTGGTATGCAAATACTTTTGCCAGAGTTTTTAATGCCTTGTCCTAGAATTGGAACTGGGTTTGTAAGGAGGTGAATTCTGTTGTTCTATTCTGTGCCGCTGTCACGTTACTTTTCAAAATTATTTCGTTTGTTTTGAGCGATTGTCACGTTTTTGTGTTTTTGTGTGTTTCTGGCTGATAAATCATAAAAAAAATTATTTTCGTCTGACGAGATAACACTGAACGTAATCAACAACATTTATTCAAATACTTAAAGTTACAGCAATAAATAATTTACAGCTTCAACCATCAAGAACTGTCTGACTTTAGTCACATTTTTAGAATTCCTGATACTCATTCTCGCGCTCTAAATCGCTATTCTCTGTGTCCGTGTAGCCCAATAAAAAGTCACTCGATAGATCATCCTCGTCATCAGAATCGCTAATTTGTTCGTCCTGTGCCTCATCATCACCGTCATGCTCCTCCTCATCATCAACATCACTATCATGTACTATCAGATCCTCCTCCTCGTCCTCCTCCTCCATCTCATCATCATCGATGTCCTGGAGTTGACTCTCATCATCGCTATCATCAGAGTCCAACTGATTTTCATCATAATCGTCGCTAGCGGTCGCTGAGTGATTCGCCCCATCTTCATCCTTCTTCTCATCCTCCTCGTCACTGTGCAACTCTCGCTCCTCATGCTCCTCCTCATCATCATCATCAGTAGCATGTTCTAACTGATCCTCCTCCTCGTCCTCATCCTCGTCCTCCACCTGATCATCATCGGTGTCACTCTTATCATCGCTATCATCAGAGTCCAACTGATCATTCTCTTCGTCACTGTGCAACTCTCGGTTAATGGTCTTCACATTGTGGATTTGTTTGATTAACGCATCGCGTTCCAGGGAGTGATATTCACGTTGCAATTGGCACGCGGTCTGCAGTTCCTGGTTGCGTTTGCGTAGCTGAAATATTTCAGTCAGATTCTCATTCTGTTTGTTCACAATGGATGTCATAAGCTGCTCCAGCGACTGTATGTTCACCTCGTGCTCCGCCAGCTTTTGCTTCAGCAGCCAATTCTCAGCACGACACTTGACCAGCTCCGATACACTGGCCGTTATCTTGGCATCATCTGTGATGGGCGTCTGCCAGCTGAAGGATTTATGGGATATTCTTTTTTTAATCTTTGTTGTTCTTATACTTAGCACACTTACGCATCGCAGGTCCCTTCATTTTCGATGGCTACATTCTCGTTGGGATTGGGTAAGGGTACTGCAATGCGTTCCTCGTTGCCATTGCCCGTCGAGGATGTGGCACTAACGATGTACTGGCATATGCAAGACATCTTCTATTTGAGAATTTCTATTATTTTTCACAACTAATAAAAATATGTTAAAGTAAATTTGAAGTAATGCCAATCTCACACAATACTGCACAATACACTTATAACAGGGCCAACTCGATACTTAAACTCCCATATCGTATTAAATGCATTTTGAGCTCCATCCCTGCAGTCCTTTTTTCGTGAAGTCTGCCCAGTGAACACACTTTACGACTTGACATTTTCACACTTTGTTGGCAACGCTTAAGCGCCTCTCCTCTCCTCACTTCATCTCATTTTTCCCTCTCCCTCTGTTGGCCGGCCAAGTCTTCTCGCTGTTGTTGTCGATGCATGTCTCTCGGCTCTCGACTCTGCTCACAGTTTTGGTACTTTTTTTTTGTGGATTCAAGTGCAAAATTGGTTTAAGTGTTTGCTAAATTGGCAGCAAAATGGCTTTTTCAATTTTATACTTAACGTTTATATTCAAAGTGACGTCAGACAGACAGGCAGACAGGCAGGCAGCTAAACTTGCACCATAAAAACTAACAGTCTCTGCTGCTCTACTTTTTTGGCAACAAGTGGCGCCTGCAGCACAATTGATATGGTGTACATATATAAATATAAATAAATATAAAAATAAAAGATATACACGTGTGAAACTGTGAAATAAGATATACATATAATAAATATATATGAAACTTACATATATTTTAATTATTTTCCCTTAATATTTCATTTCACTTATTACTAACGTTAATTATTTTTGGTCTGATTTGGGTTTTTCTAGGCTTATTCATTTCTTCATCAATCAATAAGTATTAAACTATTTTACATTTTAATCGTTAGTTAATAGTTAGTTCGTTGGTTATTTTTAGCTATTCCCTCTTAATTATCCTACTTTATTACACTATTTTTACTTCACATAAAAGATATATTTATATAAATATATATATATTCCAGTCTTACTCTGGCTACTTGTAATTACAAAACCATAAATAAATACAATTCAAACGTGTAGCAACTTGAACACCTGCCACGCCCACCCCATGCATTTCACACGCTTGCTAAAAGCGGACACTAAACGGGGCAACAAATAACAACAAAAATAATAACAAAAACAAGGCAAAATTCGCGACTTGGCTAGTCCAAGTCAAGTTCAGCTCACACATATCATTTATAGCCGCGATAATCATGGCTTACACCCATGCATCCGCTTTTAGACACACATATATTTTATGGTCCCCTACATGAGTCTCTCTCTATCCCCCCCTCCCCCCTTCTTACCCACCGTCTGTCTGTCTGTTAACTAGATATTGTGGTCGAGGCGCAGAGTCTAATCGTGATGCCTAAACAACGCCAAATTACACACCAGAGGGCGCTACGCAGTCCATGTTAACATAAATTTGTTGCGCCTCTTCTGTGCGGACTGCCCCCAAAAACGTTTCAGCAGGGCAGGGGGCGGGAAGCATATGGAGGGGCGGTTTGGGGCATGCTATAAGCGTTCAACTTTAAACTAGGCAACACATGCAAGCGCACATTTAAAAAGGCATAAGTCATACATGGCTAATAAATTGATTTGCCAAAGTGGATTAGAGGTCATTGCTATATCATGACTTACAAGGTGTTCCATCCTATGAAAGGTGTCTCAACTAGAGATTTGCTTAGAATTTATTTAATGTTTAAAACTATTATAAGAAGTGGTTAATAGGTCAATTTCTTAGCATTCACTGAATGTTCTGTTTTGTGCTATGTTTTTACATTACAGATATGGGATAGTTGTATCAGGAACTGAAGGAACTGAATACAAAAAGAACACCATGTATTGTGCGACTGCCTGCCCACAACTCAAACTCAACTATTTTTGGCTTGACTATGTGTGCATTTGAAAGAAAAAATGTTAGCACACGGAAACACGAGATATCCCCAACCAGAGAAAGAGAGACAGGTCGAGAGAGAGAAAGCGAGAGAGAGAGAGAGAGAGAAGAGTTGAATCGCTTAAAATGCCAGTTTGAAGTCTATTATTTGCTGGACACGAGCACATATTGATTGCATCGCCAATCGCAGCTGGAACAGGCAAGGAATCCCGGGGGAGACCAGCAAATTGCTTCAGCAAATACAACAAAATACTCGCAAAATGGGCAACAAAAACAAAAATCGGCACTTGGATGCGACTTGCAGTTGAAGTTGAAGTTGCAGTTGGGGCAGGAGCAAATCACATGGTAATGGATGCAGCAACACAAACTGAAACAGAAACAGAAACAGAAAACCGCAATCCGAGCCAGCCCAAAGTTGCAACTTGCTAGTTGCAAGTTGCGGGAGTTTGAAAACTTGTTTCGGAAAAAAGCAGACTTTGGCTTTGGTTTCTGTTTCTCGCGCGGCGGCGTCGGCTTCGTGTAGCTCAGCATTTAGCGTCTTGATCGGTTTATCACCGATTAATTAGAGTTTGATAAATACGCGCACGCCGTGAGTAAATAAATCATGACAGCCAAACAGTATTCAGACATTCAGCGTAGGAGTTCCACGTCGAACTCCGCGAACGATCTCCCCAAACACACACACACACATATGTGTGTAAGTATGCGAGTGTGTGTGCACACACATTCCTCAACCATTTGCATATGCCAAATAAGAAACTGAAAGAGTGTGTGCCAGTCAAAGAGAGTTTGAAAGAGAGCTCGACTAACAGATACCCTGCATCCAACTTTTACATATTCGACTTGCTAATCATATTTACAGTATGAAAATACCTCAATAAAATGTTAACAAACTTAACTATGTCGACTCGTCTGCTGCTGCCGATCAAGTATATATGTATATAACTCATATTGTTGCAGGTGCTTTTCTCTGCCTGAAACATTCTCCTGCACAATTTCAGCATACCCTTTCAATTATTTTTAATGGGTTCAAAGCATAGAAATAAAGGTAAAAATATTGTGCGCAGTTTTGCGCGCTTTTGCATTTTATTTTTGATTGTTTCTACTGTCGTTGCTTTTGACATTCGCACAAAAGGCCAGTTTGAAAGAGGGCCCAAAATATCTTTGAACATTTCTCTGTGAGACCATTAATTATGTACCCGAAAAAAAGAAACCAGAAAGAAAACCAAAATGTCCTTTGAGATGCGACTGATGTTGATGAGTCCTGACTTTGAGTTAAGCTTGAGTTTGAGGTTTAGCTGTAGCTAATTTTGGCTGGATTCAAATTTGTTTTTGGTGGTCGGGTTTGGGTGTCAAAGGTGCTTTGAATTATGCGCCTGCTGCATATGAAAGCAAATGCAATTTTTGTTGTTCTATTTTGTACACTTGAGCTTTGGGTTTGTTTTTATGTTTGGCTCAGAATTTTGAATGAGTTTAGGGGCTTGGGTGGTATGACTGGTAAAATTAGTGGATAAATATGTGTGGGGGATTGAAATGAGGGGAGGGGGGTTCATATAAGGAGGCTTCTGGTGCAAACGGTAAAGGTTTGTGCGGAAATTAAGTAAATCTCTATAAGTCTTATATTGAACAAACTCTTTATAAATGTTAATTGCCTGCTGATTTGTTTGAATTTATAAATATTTACTTAGAAACATTTGACCTGAAGCCAGCTAAATACCTATTCAGATTAACTTTGTAATTAAGTAAATTCTTAACTTACTATTTAATTATAGGAATACTAGCTGCAATGTTTTCGGCTTTCAACTTTCATAATTCTCTTTCTCTCTCTTGATATCATAATTGCATTTTCTTTTGCCAGCCACAAGTATTATGCACTTTGTTATTTGCGCTATTGAAAATTCACGAAAAAAATTGTTCATTTAATTTTGTTGCTCCGACTGCTCTCTCTCTCTCTCTCTCTCTCTCTCTCTCTCACACACTTTCACTCTCTTTCCGTCTCTCTCGCTCGCAATGTCTCTTTCTAGTTTTAATTTGGTTTTTTGCATAGCCACATTTACGAGAAATGAAATGAAATGTCTTTGGTTTATTACCGCAAGAGCTGCACTAGCAGCAGTAGCAAAAGCTAGAAGGAGGTTATTATTATTACTACAACTCTCCCCGACTGTTGGTAGTGGTTGTCGTTGTTGTTGTTGTTGTTTTTGTTGCTGTTGTTGTAGTTGTTGTTGTTGTGGACTCTATGGCACAATGATTGCTACCTTTGCTGCACATTCGCATCGTATCGCATCGCATTCGGCGTCTTTTATTCTTGCCCATGGCACTGGCAAAAATGTTGACCACTTTCTGCTTGGCAGCATTCTTCTCTCCAATCCCCTCCACTCCACTTCCCTCCACTCGACTCTGTGCTCCTTTTGCATTTCAACTCAAGCGTTGACCATTTTACTTGGGTAACTCGTCCTCCTCCTCCTTCTCATGCTCCTTCCTTAGTTTTCTTATTGTCGCACTAAAATTGTGCTCAAGATAACTCAAGGCATGAATGAATGAAATAAAAGGCTGCCTGCTTGGCTGGCTGGCTGCCTGGGACCAAAGTATTTGCGGTCTTTCACATCCTCTTGCACAATTATCCAGATTTCAATATTACTTCGTCATAAACAAAAACTGAGTGCGATCTTACTTGCAGAGAGCAGGGAAAATGGAGGAGTCTGTTTGGTTTTAGGGACCAACTGCACTTTGAGTATTGTGCAGAATGCTATTATTAATTCTATTATTGTTGACTCAGGAATTTTAAGTCACTACCACCCCAAAAAGGGGGTTGGGGCTTGGGTTCGGGGCCCATTGCATGCCTGCATCTTAGGGTCGTTTATATTTATGAAGCCGAGCAGCTCGTTAGTCAGCCAACCACAAACGCTGTAAATCAAGTAAAGGAAATTATATTTTCAATTTGCAGCACTAAGACGAAAATTCCCTAAAAGTCTAATATATGCCTGCCAATTCACTTGGCATGATTTAATCGTGCCCATTAACACACTCGCAATTTTTTCTTTCCCCGCAATTTTCCCATTTTCCGCGCATGCAAATTTTCTCGCAAATTGGCTTAATTTGCAGCGAGAGAGGCCCTTAAATCATATGGGAGAAATATGGCCTGAGGTAAAAACTTTCAATTGCCGTGCATTTCCAAGCA